CTGGCTGTAACCAATGGTTTTACCGCACACGCCCCCCCCCCCCATAGAGTGAGAAGAACCCTTCAGCTGATTCCAGGAAATGTCAGTTCCTTCCAGCCCAAGAAGGAAACACCATACCTGAAGTCCCAGGAATGCCATGAAGATGGAGTTTATTGTTCCCAAGATCCCTTCAGGATCATATGCCACTCTTGTTTGGTAGATCACCTTTGAGAAAGAGAGGGATTATTAGAAAGTCCCAAGAGGCTCTGAATTTATTTGCCTTCTCTCATACCCCTCTTCACTGGCTACCATCCACAAGCCCCACCTTGACACCTGGCTACTGTCAATACTGGATTCAGACTGTATTTACACTGTGCTAAATCCTTTCCAACTTGCAGCTCTGGTTAATGATTTGCAGAACAGAATCCATTCACTGCTTCCCATCCCCACAGCCCTGTATGGTGGGTATGACTCCCCCTACCCCCAGGCAGTGTGGTGTTGGTAAGGAAGCTGCTGGTAAGCTTACCCAGTTGTGAAATGTGCAAGCTGTCCCACCCTTCCAAGGGCGTTCCCTCTGCTGTGCCATGTGCCTTCTGCTGCACTCAGGTTATTTCCTGGCTGACAGCAGCCTGATTTGCAATCCTCAACCCTATATGACCCTGATCCAGTATAGCACTGTTTTCAACATGGACTTAACTCTCAGCATGTGAGCCAGTCTCCTGACTCCACCAAGGCTGACTGTTCCTACTTGAAGTTAAGCACACGTTTAAGTGCTCTGCAAACCAATGACAAAGAAGGTACACTGGGTTTACCACTCAACTCCTTTCATAGTTTCTAGGGTCGGACGGGATCTGAGCAAATCATCGAGTCCAACCCCCTGCCATGGCAGGAAAGAGTACTGGGGTCAAATGACCCCAGCAAGGTGTACATCTAGCCTCCTCTTAAAGACCCCCAGGGTAGGAGCCAGCACCACTTCTCTTGGAAGGTGGTTCCAGATCCTAGCCGCCCTGACCATGAAGTAGCGCCTCCTGATATCTAGCCTAAATCTACCCTCTGCCAGCTTGTGACCGTTATTCCTGGTCACTCCTGGTAGTGCTCGGGGGAACAGGGACTTCCCCAGTGCCTGCTGGTCCCCTCTGACTAGTTTGTAACAGGCAACTAGATTTCATAGATTTTCATAGACATTAAGGCTGGAAGGGACCTCGGAAGATCACTGAGTCCAGCCCTCTGCCCAAAGGGCGGGAAGTCAGCTGGGGTCATAGGATTCCCCCTCAGCCTTCTCTTTTGGAGGCTGAACAGGTTCAGGTCCCATAGCCTCTCCTCATAGGGCCTGCCCTGCTGCTCCCTGATCATGCGAAGGCCCTCCTCTGGACCCTCTCCATGTTATCCACATCCCTCTTGCAGTGCGGCGCTCAGAACTGGATGCAGTACTCCAACTGCGGCCTGACCAGTACCGCATAGAGGGGGAGTATCACCTCCTTGGACCTGCTTGAGATGCATCTGTGGATGCATGACAAGGTACGGTTGGCCTTCCTGACTGCATCCCCACACTGCCGGCCCATGTTCATCTTGGCATCAATGACGACTCCAAGATCCTTTTCTGGCTCTGTACTGACAAGAAGGGAGTTCCCCAACCTGTAGGTATGGTGCCGGTTGTTCCTCCCCAGGTGCATCACCTTGCACTTGTCGGTGTTTCCACTTACAACCCATTACTTCCCACAAGGCACAAATGGGAGGTTAAAGCAAAAAGCAGCTATTATGTGAAGGAGACACTTTTCACCTTCTGGTGCTATGTATGTGATCTTCATCAGATTTGCTTCCTTTCTTGCCAAGACTATGTCTGGGCTCCTTTCACTCCTAGTTAGCAGAGCAGGCAGAAAGCCTGGTCCACTGGTTCAGGCACTAAGACCTGAAAGAGCTAAATTAAAGACCCTGCTTCACTACAGACTACGTGTGACCTTAGGCAAGTCACATAAGTCTCTCTGTACCTCAGGTGTTAAATGAAGAGGAAAGCACTACCTTAACTACATCTGGGGGGAGGCATGTCTACATGAAATACTTACTGCAGGGTTGATTAATTAGCTTTGCAGTAAACATCTCAGCATCTACACGTGCAGTGCTATTAGGATATAGTAAACTAACTCTGCAGTAGGTTAGTATTTGTATTTACAAGTACTTGTATTTACAAGTACTATCCTACTGTGGAGTTTTTCCATGCGCAGAAGCGTATGTGTAGACCCTGACAGGACTGGCTGGGGGCATGAGGCTGCTTCAGTGTAGGGGCTGCTGGCTGCTAGCCCCACACTGGAGCACCCTCGTGCCCCAGCCAGCCTCTCTACATGTTGAGCCAGGTTGGAGCAGCCCCAAGCTGGCAGGCTGACCCCCTCGGATCCTGCCACATGGGGCTGCTCCAACCTGGCTCAACATGCTGTGGTCTTGGGGACATCTGCGCCTGCTGTTCAGACATAATGCCTGGAATCAATAAACTCCAGTGTGATATGCACAGGAGTTTATTGCTGCTCATTAACAGCACATATAGATGCGCCCACGATGTTATAAGGCTGAATATATTACGCTGCGAGTTGTGCAGCTACTATAACATTAAGGGCCGTGGCAAGCATGTGACAAGCCCTATAACAATTTATAAATGCTGTAGACTGACCTAGTTATTTCAATGTTTGCTGTATGAATACATTGCTTTTTGTTTAACAGTGGGCAAAAAGCAATGGATTGAGACAAGCCACCCTATAGCAAAAACTTGAAAGTTGTTGTGGAACAACGGTGAAGCTGCTGGTCCTGAGGAGTCTGGCTCAACTTCCTGATTCAAAAGAGCTGGCTGAATCCAGGTGGCCCCTGGAAACTAAGAAAGGGATCCTAGCAAAAACAATCTATTATCAGCAAACTGACCAGCTGGGTTCTAGTGGAGATCTTTTAAGCAAAGAACAACAGAGCTTGGCTTTCAGCTCCCAGGCTGAGCAGACTGTTGGTATTTCAAAAAGAAAGCACCCCCTTTCCTTGAAAATTTAGACAGTTTCATATACGACTTCTTGGAATAATAAGCATAGAACTCTGCTACACCATTTCCAGAATAACTTTGGAAGTGCTCTGAAAATTCACGTGCAACCTAACGCCACTTACATTGGAAGATGGGTGCTGGTAAATATGCGCTTCTCCCAAGAGCAAGCGATCAATGTAGCCAGCTGCTCCTCCAGTGCAATTGTCATATTTTCCAAAATCTCCAATGCCACCAGGACCAATGTAACCTCTAAAAGGGAAATAACAGATGTGAGCATGGGTAATCTGCTACCAGGTGTGGGTGTGGTTAAGGCTATGTTTTGCTGATCCAAGGCAAAAAAAATCATCTCCAAATACAATCATGTTACCCACCAGCCTAAATCCCAGATAAAAGTCTTAATCAAAAAAGCAGCACAGGGGAAGCATTAGCTAGCTCCTTGCAAAGAGCCGTCTAGACAACCCGCTGCATCCACAACAGACACCCTCCCAGATTGTGTAGCTCAATGCAAGATTTGCTGTTTACAAGGCTGAATGCTGGGAGACCCAAAGGGCCGGCCTTCTGGACACTAAACACTGCCCAAACATGGTTTAGAAACCCCAGAGGGTGCTCCTACATTCCCCGCCTCCCAACAAAACCAGCTTTTGTGTCCACTAGAAGACCTCATGAAGCTGTCCTCAACCCAGTTTTCTTAAGCTACTGAAATGTAGTTCTTTCTCTGGCCTGAAACAAAGGGATGAAAACAATGAGTTAAATATAGAAAAGGTCTCTGCAGCTTCAGTGTTGGAGGCAGGGATATGCTCATTACCTTCTGGAGAAGCAAACATGCATGAGGCAGGAATATTAAGTGAAACAGTGAGCTCCAAATTACGTTTGCTTTGTGCCTTTGCAGGCTGCAGCCCTGCATAAGAAGCAGATGAAAAGCTTCCAGGATAGGCAGCCATATTAATAGGAAGATCACCTGCTGCCACAGAATCCAGTGCTGAGTGTCCCAGACCCACCAGAAACATCAAAGATTTTAACTGGGGACAGCCAGAGAGATAGGAAAAAACAGCAGGACAACACCAGCACCCAAGACAGATGGCTTGCTGCCAGAGAAACAGAGCCGCTTAGATGGAGATTTCCATTGCGAACCACAAGAAGAAAGGAGCTAAAATGAGAAAGGTTATGGAACAGGCACAGCCAGACTCAGTTTCTAGCATCCCACAGGGCCACACCTCCAGAAGTAAGGGAAATCCCAGGTTCTCTCAGGGAAGAAGACCTAAGACTCCTTAACAAGAGTGAGGGACACACAGTCCCTCTACAACATGGGTATTTCTACACCTAGAATCATATAACAGTAAGGCTGGAAGGGCCCTCAGGGAGTCATCTAGTCCAACCCCCTGGCTCAAGGTAGAATCATCTCTGTCTAAACCACCCCAGACTAATGTTTGTCTAACTTTCACTTAAAATATGCAAAGATAGAGGTTCTGCAACCTCTCTGGTAAGCTGTTCCAGGGCTTAACCACTCTCATACTCATCCTAATATCCAACATAATTCTCCTGTGTTGCAATTCAAGCCCACTATCTCAGTACGTGCCTGAACACAAAAGCAGCTGAAGGGACTTTGCTGCAACCAGGGCACCGACAGCAAGCATGGACAGCTGCAGCCTGAAAGCTCAGAACTTATGAAATCAACGCATTATGCCATCACCCACTGCAGGAGGTTCCCCGTGCCTGCTGGAACATGCATGCTGTCAAGATCCTTCTCAGGAGGAAAGTCTCCGCAGGTATGTCTGCATTACTTCTGTGGTTCTCCATAGATAACCGCCAAAAATGAAGTGCCTGCCATCCACCCCCAATCCATGCATGCCAAACCCAGAACTAAGGCAACAAGGAAGCTCTGGAAACACCCTCTCTTGAGGTCTCTGCCTTGGCCATGCTTGTGAGCAGCAGTGTACTGGGGGAGCATTGTGACGGGTCTCTAAAGTGTCCTCACTACCTCCATTCTGGGTTTGCAGTATGTGGAGCAGGTGGGCAAGGCTTCATTTTCAGCAGTAGACTCAAGACCACCATAGGGGCAGTGTAGCTGTGTCCCTCATTTCCCTACCTCACAAGCATCTGGGTGATGTGTGGTGTTCATATACAGCTCTGCAAGAACCTCAGGGAGATTTTGAACCTGTTTCATACCTACCTGGGGGCAATAAAGATGTCAGTTTTATCAGATATTTCACTTTAAGAAGGGAAAGATTATCCTGTGAAAATCCCTGTCCAACTGAACACAAAGCCTATCCTCTTCAATCCTCCCTACCAATTCAGAGCTAGAAACACTGGGTGGGAGCTCTGCATTGCGGGCTACCTGAAGGACCACCTGGCCCACTTGTAGCAGAACTGTAACATGAGAAATGTACAGAGGTATTTTAAGATGTTCTAGAATAAAGCAATACTGCTTTCCTCCTGGTACACCTTCAGCTGATTCTGTCATGGGTTGGGACCATGTATATCTTTATGCTTGTGTTTTGTCCTGGGATAAAAACAGCAACCCCAGCACAAAAGCATGACAAATGCTGTGTCTGTTCACATCCTGACAAACATTCCCCAAACATATCAAAAAAGCCCCGAAGTTTCAGAAGCAGAACCTGAAGGGAAGTCCAAGCATGACACTTACCGGGGGCAGCCAGGTACCTCTAACAGGAAGGTCAGACACAGCCAAATTGCTTCCAGTGACAGAATGAAAAGCCACTGTGGCCAGTAACACAGAATATCCTGAAAAGCAGAATATGGCATCTCCTGTAAGAGAGGAAGGGAGGAAAAGAAATATGATGAACCAGCATATAAATATTGTCCATGAGAAGAACCATCTAACAGTAAGTGCTTGGCATTATAGGCAGTCAGGAGTTAATGACCACAGTGGATTTTGCAAGACTTCCTATTTTTATTTTAGTATCCTGTTTTTCCTTTCCCCTTTATTAAGTTAAAGCAAGCAAATGTTTCTGAAGCTGAAATTTGCCAGGCTTGCTTTCAAAAAGAACAGTCTGTTTCAGAAGCCTGAGCAAAATCCTGTCAGCAGGTTTTAAGTCAAATGAGAGATAATCACAACCTATTTTACCTCATTATAAAAAAAGAGAAATGCTAGCCAGCCTTCAGAGGCGGAAATCTGAAACACTGGACTCAGCACAGATAAGGTCCTCACTTAGCTTACTGGGTGGGAAGGGAGAGTAAAATAAAAGCATCTAAAGAAATTAGGAAAAGTCATGCTCAGAGTGTATCTGCTAAACTCATAAACGAGAGCAGAACCCTGAACATTTTGTGATATCGCCGCCTGGTCTCTCTGCCCAGCCTGACAGACAACAGGCTAGTCAGGCTCCCCCAGAGACAACGCTAGCAGATGGGGAAGCACTGGGAACACATAATCCCTTAAAACAAAGAATATATATAAGCCATGTTCAAAATCACAGCTGCATTTTTCAGCAATGCTGGAACCAAAGAGGCACTGACTGTGGAACAGAAAGGACCCTTAAAATCCTCCATAAGCCAACTAAGTAGGCCTGACAGGCAGAATTGCTGCAACAACCTCCTGCTGCTAAACTCACTGTAGCCCCCTTTGGCAGCTCTGCAAAATTTAGCAAAATGTTAATGTTTTACACTGCATCTTCCAAACCCACATGCTGATCAAGGAAACAGTGGTAGCACTGCAGGAGACAGAACCTCTTTGATGGCAGACCACTTGCAAAACAAGTAAATGAGATGGTGCTGGGTCTCCCATACCACTTACAATCTCCCTCCCATCTCAGGCCCACTCACCAAGTTCTCACTCGCAGCCACGACCCTGGCAAAAAGGAGTTCCATGATGGCAACCACCAGGTAAGTAAAGCCCAGCCTCTGAAGCACACCTGGGATCCGCAGGCTGTCCCAGGACACTACAGCAGACACAGACACAGTCTAAGAGAGAAGCCAGCTTCAGGTTCTTCTCTACACATAGGAACTGCACTACTTCAGAGACAGGCAGACAGATTACTCCTGAGGGTGTCATGGTCTGGTTATGCAGGAGTAAGTCTCTGTGCCTCATAGGGCACTATCATGGGTCTCCAAGAGCCTCATACATATTCACACTTTTAAGTCTCCCAATGCACCAGGTGATGGGAACTTTAATCAGTCCCAGCCCAGAGAGGTGTGCAGTCTCTAGAGCTGCATGCAACTCAGGCAAGGGAGTGCACTCTAGAGTCCCAAAAGACATAGGTGCTCCCCGAACACCTCTGTCCAAAACTGCTGTGCTCCTCCAGCTAACCTACACCTTGCCCCTCTCTGACCAGAGTGCACAAGATGTGATGGGCAGGTCAGTACAGTGGGGAGGGGCTGAATGCACTG